CGGAGCGAGCCTACCCCTCCACGGAGGCCAGCGCCTAGGAGCCGGGGGCGCGCCCAAGAAAACCTTGCGTTGTGTTTTCTCTCAGCTTCTGCGTCTCGAGGTTTAAAGGCTTCGTTCTCCAGAGGTTGTGCTGCTGTCTCTAGTGTTATAACAGTTCTGCAGCGTGGCTGCTCTTTGGCCTGACTTAATGTTTCTGTTGGGTTCTCTTTCAAGACGCTGGATTACTTGTGTGGGATGCAGTAGCCTGAAAGTAGGTAGGATCTTTTTTGAAGGATGCTAACAGGCTGCGTTAGACTCCTCCCTCGGAGCTACAGGAAAAGGCCTTGCCGAGATCCGTTGTGCCTGTTCACTGGAGGAATGCACTGACCACGCACTGAGGCTATGCGCGCTCGCTGTGCCCTGAATGCAAAGAGTTGAGATGAGTCTCTAGGTCTGTGAAGGATGAGTGAACTGCAGGCCTCGAGAATGCACTGGTTCGGTTTCTAAAAGGATTAACGTCCCTGTAGGGCTTAGAGTGACACGTGCACATGAAGCTGTGGAGCTCTTGTAGAATGATCAGCTTTCAGGTTTCTGCCGTGGCTGAGGTGATATGTATATGTGCCTCGTTTCCACTCCCTAGGCTGAACCATCCCAATGTAGTGGCTGCCCGTGATGTCCCTGAAGGGATGCAGAAGCTTGCACCAAATGACTTGCCACTGTTGGCCATGGAGTATTGCCAAGGTGGAGACCTCCGCAAGGTGAGGTCACTGGGATGGTGATGGTGACTAAGGGGCCTCAGCAGGATGAGACCTGGGGTTTGTCTTCAGAAAAGTTTAGTTCAGAGTATAAAAGCTCTGTTTTTGTCCCCTGCTGCCTCCAAATTCATGTCACGGTAGCTACAACGTTTGGTGGGTTGGTTCTCGGAAAAGTTCCGTTTCTAAAAACTTAAATATTTTCTGAAACTTTCTATGTTTGTCTGGCCACAAGTGATAGGTTGTGGAATTTGCATGTAGAGGATGAGGGTGTGTGAGAGGGATGTACGACAGGCTGTGAGCATGGCCAAGAGCATCATAGGGCAGATCTGTGGGCGTTATCCTTCCCGGAACTGATAAACCTCTATCTGTCATAGGAAAAAATAATTTGTGGCCATTCTGATCTTGGTGTTTTTTTAACCTTTGCTATAACTTGCCCGTAGATAAAGCCCAGAGTGTACAGCTGAGATTAGAGCTGATAATGCAAGGCACAGGGGAAATGGCTATGAAGGGTGGAGATGGTAGAAGGAAGAGGATGGAGGTGATACTGATTTATTCTAGCCACCCTTTCTCCTCTCCAGGATAGACCAAGGTCTTAAGCTCTAACTATTGCTACCAGAGGTCCCAGTCCCATTTCCTTGCTGTCACTGGAGCTTCTTACATTCTTGAGAGCTTATGGGATGTAGACCCTCGCTTAGGACACAAGAGGGAAAGATTACCTATGTTCTGTGCTGCTCTCTTGCAGTACCTGAATCAGCTGGAAAATTGCTGTGGCTTGCGGGAAGAAGCTATTCTCATCTTGTTGTCTGATATTGGTAAGTGTTATTAGTATCTTCAGTTGTCCCAACTGTGGAAGCCCTTTACTGCTGAATCCACTTGAAGGCTATGTGACAGTGACCTTAATGGCTCCATCTTAGGCCCTTGAGTGGTATACTTGCTTCCGGTCTTGTTCTGCCTGTCCTCTCCAAGAAAGCTAACCTCTGATTTTTCCGTTCTTGAAATTCCAGTGTTGAGATGGATTTTCTTTCCCAGCAAAAATGCTACTCAGGATTTCCTGGAAGGTTCTGGATAGCTGAACACTTGCCAAGTGACTCCAGTTTATATTGCACATCATCTCTCCACCCTCAGTTTATTAGCTCATCAACAGGACTGCAGAGTGTGTGTGATCAGTTGTTTTCCATTAGCATTTGGGCCACCAATATGTGGAATTTGAGACAGTTCTGATGTTTGCAGTGTGATGCAAAGATTAGAGAAAGCTGTCTAGAGACTTTCAGGCTGGTGATTGTTGTTCTTTGTTGTTTTAGCAAGCTATGTTGTTGTCGGGGGCTATTGTTATGTGGGTCACAGCTGAGGTGAAGCAGGTGGACGGGTGCTAAGGCTTTAAAGAGAAGAGATTCAAAAAGTGGTTTTGGGGCATGTTGATCCTTAGAAAGCGAGCTTGTGGCAAGAGGAGGAACACGTGTTCATTAGTACTCCTACTGCTAGGCAGAATCTCCTGTCCTTTATGTTCCCAGAGCATTTGTACTCTGCTGTCTGCATTCTTTTACCCCCTTCCTGACCAGGAAAAGATACTTAGAACTGACCGGAGACAGTGGTAGGTTACGTTTAGAGCGCAGTTTGTGTTTATGTGCTTGTGTGTATATGGCAAGAGGGACGGTTCTGAATCTCCAGTTGTGCGATCCGAACCACAACCAAGCAGAACCATTTTCAACTATTGATATAACTTGTTCTTCGGATCACTTACAATCCCTGCTTAGCTGGTCTTCCTAGGGTTACTGTCCTTCAGGAGAAGGCTATATTGTTGATAACTCCTGAAAGTCCAGCCAGATCATTCCACTCTGAATAGCTGCATCTGGGAACGCAACACTGTCAGAAGGGACATGAAGTCCCAAAGAGCAGAGAGTGAGTCCTTCTGGCTCAGGCTCGAATCAGCCCTGAAAAGCACAAACTGTAGAAACGCTACCAGGTTTTGTCTTCCTAAAACCCTCCTTTTTACCCACAAAATGGGAGATATGTTAAGGTATTATCTTGACCAAGTGTGAGAAATACAGGGCTTTTATTCTGCTTTACTATTCTTAAGATGAAGTTTTTATCTTTCCAATGTAGATGGACTTTATCAGCCTGTGAGTTGTAGGGTATCAGTGGTTGTGAGCAGAGACTGTATGTTACCTAGAAATTTCCTAGGAAGAATTTTGCAGGTGAAATGGGGCAGAACAACAGCTTGTGGACAGGACAGAACAAAGTCTTTGGTAGAGCAGCCTTTGGATCTGTTGAAGAAAGAGATGTGCTGAGAAAAGCTGAGTATAGCCACTTTGGCCACAATACATACCTTGCTTCTGTGCGCAGTTGTTATAATTTTTAACCCTCAGCATCTGGGAAGGGGTTCATCAGAAGATTTTGGGAGAAATGAGACTACTTCAGGAAAGAAAAACAGCTGCCACTAGAGCAAGTTCTGTTTGTGTCCAGAAATGTTTGACGCTTGGTTTTCTTCTTGCGCTTGGTATTTCATTGGTCAATTGTTTGTACCAGGTTTGACCCAAAAGCCGTGCTTATACCATGTAGAAATGCATCCTTAACTGAGATCTTGCCAAGTACCATTAGTTGCGCTCTAACAAATGGCTCTTTCTGTGTCTCAGCTTCTGCTCTCCGGTACCTTCATGAAAACAGGATCATCCACAGAGACTTGAAACCAGAGAACATTGTGCTGCAGCAAGGAGAGCAAAGGGTAAGCAGGAACCAGGTGTCTCTGGCTGCCCAGACAAGTCAGTGTAAGAGGAACATGCACGTGCCAGACAGTTACAGTGATCCCTCTGTAAGAGCTCTCAACCCAGGATAGCAGCTAGCTCAGAGCTCTGTGTCAGAGAAACAGTATTCTGTGTGCAACTGAGATGAGAGGTTGTATTAGACTTTTGGTAATACCTGGCATTTCAACTTAAACTACTGATGAATGAATCTGATTGTAGTGACTGGCCAAAGGTCTGAAGTAGTGGTAACATCTCTAGCTCTGTGCGTATCAAGCAATGGCAATTGTAAGTACCTCTGGTCTTAGGAACCTGCAGGAGCCTCCTATTTCCTCCTGCATCTCTTCATTGGCACCTTTCCTGCATGGATTTGAAGAGCTGAACTTTTGGTTTCTCTGCTGTGTGGTATATTTTTAAGGGAACTTTTCCCCATTCCTTGCTCTTTGCTGTGTGTTTCAGTTAATACACAAAATCATCGACCTTGGTTATGCTAAGGAGTTGGATCAGGGCAGCCTGTGCACTTCCTTCGTTGGGACACTACAGTACTTGGTAAGGAAGGAATTTGGCTGAAGAGCAGCTACCACATTGTGGGATGCAATCAAGAGTATACTTAGCTGGGCAAAATACTTGTCTGAGAAGGGGGTGCAGTTGGGCAGCTGTAGCAAGGAAAGGTAATTGTTTTTTTGCTGACACTGCGTTTTCACGGTGTCTGCTAGCTATTTCTGTTGTAAATAAGAAGCAGGAGTGCCACTAACCTGCAATATCCACTCTGAGAGGATATCAAAGCTCTTGAGAGATAGTGTTCAGCACGGTCTTTGTAACATGTTGTACAAATGTTATTGAGCTCTTAAGAGGCAGAGAGCTGAGAGAAGGATGGCTTTGTCTCTTGTGTGTGTGTGAACTGTCTCAGGCTCCAGAGCTGTTGGAGCAGCAGAAGTATACAGTGACAGTGGATTACTGGAGCTTTGGCACGCTAGCCTTTGAGTGCATTACGGGCTTCCGACCGTTCCTACCCAACTGGCAGCCAGTGCAATGGTGAGTGACGTGGGGCCCGGTGATAAGAGTAGTGCATACAATACCACTGTCCTGTTTATGTGAAGTAGGGGTGTAGCCCCTGGATTTTTGGGGGGATTAATATTCCTGTTTCTTGCCTTATGGAGAATGGGTCCCTTTACTGGAGTTTATTGACCTCCCTGAGCAAGTTCAGCACTTCTGATACTTCTCTTTGGGATCAGGACTAACTCCTGCAGGGCAGATAGCAGAACCCAAAGCAGCATCTGGATAACATCTGTTAAGAGTAGCTGTAAGAGTCTACTAATGTGCATGCTGGGGAAGACAAGTGATTATTTCACCACTGTACCTGCTTGAATTCATTAGGCATACAAAAGTGCGACAGAAGAGTGAGTTGGATATTGTCGTTTCAGAAGACTTATCTGGAGAAGTCAAATTTTCTAGCACTTTACCGTACCCAAACAATCTAAACAGGTGAGCACTGGAAATCTGTTCTGCCGTGCGAGGATAAACTGTTTCTTCTTAGAATGAACCAAGTCTATATTACATTCTTTATTATGTTAATCTGTGGCTAGGAAGAATGCATAACACAGTGATGATGTCCCTCAGTGGACTTGCGTAGATGAGAGAGGGCCTCTATTTCTGCGTTCTAAGCAGTGGATTGGTGATCAGAAGAAGGACTTGTGTGTCAGTCCTCCCGCAGAAACCAAGCCATGTGGTGGCTGCAAGTGCACTTTAGTCTTTTCTGACCCCCTTCTTATTTTGGTCCTACAGCGTTTTGGCTGGGAGATTGGAGAAATGGCTACAGCTCATGTTAATGTGGCACCCGCGACAGAGAGGTACAGATCCTACGTATGGACCCAATGGGTGTTTCAAAGCTTTGGATGACATTTTGAACCTGAAGGTGAGCAGTGGGCCTGGATTCCCCTGAACGGTTTTCCAGAGAGCAAGTGTCCCTGGCCTATGAGGGAAGAGACGATTCATAGGCCTAGGAGGAGGAGCAGCGCAGAAACCCATTTAGGATGACAGCTAATGGCACGCGTTTTCCTCTTGCTTATTTGAGGAGAAATACTTATTGAGCTTGTTTGGATTAGTAAATAGCTTCTCCACGTGCTTGGTTCTGTGTTCTGGCAGAGGATTCTGCTGCTGAAGCTGTTTAATTGCCATGTGGCCTTGCTTTCAGCTGATGGGGGACAAGGATCATGTTATGAAGTAGCTGTGAAGTGACTTCTTGAGCCCTGCCAAGTGCTCTGAAACGGTTTCTTGGTGGTTCTTGGTGTCTCAGGCCTGGAATCTCTGCTCAAACATGACTTGTGCATCTCCAGCTCTTCTCATGTCACACTGCTCTTCTTGTAGTTGCTTCATGTTTTGAACATGGTTACGGGAACTGTACACACCTACCCTGTAACAGAGGAGGAGACTCTGCAGACTGTGAAGGCCAGGATCCAGTTAGATACTGGAATCCCAGAACAGGACCAGGAGCTACTGCAGGAAGCAGGACTCGCATTGTTTCCTCAGAAGTTGACCACTAAGCATATAGCTGATAGCAAGGTGAGTCTGGATGTTCCCATCCATGCCGCTCAATGAATCAGTGAGCACTGTTCCCTCTTTGGGAGCAGAGCAGATCTCCCTGCTGTTCTGGCAGTCCTTAGCTGTAGTAACCGCACAGAGCTAACCCTTTGCAAAATAGGCGCCCTATTTCCTTTGGCGTTCAGTTTTCCACAGCAGAGGAACGTTCTGTTTGTAGTGTTACTGAGGATTACTGTTTGTGAGAGAACTCCGTTGGGTCTTTTTGTCTCTGGCAGGTGAATGATGCTGCAGCTACAGACACAGACCTCCTCTTCCTCTTTGATAACCAGAAAGTTTCCTATGAGGCTCAGGTTGCCTTGCGTCCTCACCCAGAAAGCGTTGACTGCATCCGTAAGGATTGTCTCTAGTGTGGATGTGGGAGGATCTCTCCAGTGAGAGAGGGCTGCCTACGTTCTGTGGTCTGTACCACACGCACAGGAGCGAGAGCCTTTGCCTATTGGGCCTGGAGAAGCAGTAAAACAGACTGGCATAGCATTCATTGCATTTGTCAAAATAACTGGGGGAAGGAAGGGTTAGATTGCGATATGCTGGGAGGAGCTCCGCAGGGAATAGCCAACTATAGACTGCAAGAGGTAGACTCTTGGCTATGTGCTCTTCAAAGGAATGATTTTTTTGGTCTGTCTTGTCATGTGCTAATGCTACTTTGAGGCTTCATGCTGATACATACGTTTCCCTCCCCTGCCCCTTTGTTTCCAGTTCAGGATCCAAAGAAGAATCTCCACTTTTTCCAGCTGCGGAAAGTGTGGGGTCAGATCTGGCACACGATCCGGATGCTGAAAGAGGATTGTAACCGGCTTCAGCAGGGACAGCGAGCAGCCATGTATGGTGGCAGTCTCTCTAGAATACTTATTTCTGCCTTCGCTACCCTGTGAAAGGGAAAGGGCAGGAATGGGACTCTGTTACAGGGGGGAGCCCACGAGCGGAGCTGTTTACAATTAATGAAAAGCTGAGTTGTATTCTCTGACACAACTGCCTTTAAGGTCTTTGCTACACTCAGCACTATCTCCTTTTGCTATCTGTGGAAGTCTGGGTTTATAGTTTGGACACGTAATATGACCCTCTTGTCCTTGCAGGATGAATCTGTTGCGTTACAATAGTACCCTCTCAAAGATGAAGAATTCTATGGCCTCCCTTTCCCAGCAGCTGAAAGCAAAGCTGGACTTCTTTAAAACAAGCATCCAAATTGATCTGGAGAAGTATAAAGAGCAGATTGAATTTGGAATTAGTGAGTATTGCATCAGGCAAACAGAGGCCTTTTTTGCCTCTTGCCCCAGTATAGTACCTCACTTTTCCTGTATGAACCTAAGAAAAGCAATCTCTCTTTTGTTCCTGTAGCTTCTGAGAAGCTGCTGTTTGCCTGGAAAGAGATGGAGCAGGCTGTGGAACTCTGTGGGCGGGTATGTTTCTAGAGCTTCCTCCTTATCCTAAAGGAAAAGAGGCTTTTGTCATTGTCCTCCCTTAAATAAAAACTTGTTTCTGAGCTGACTCCAGACATCACACTGTCTTGGTTTGGACTGCATCCTTTTTTCCTTGCCAATACTTCACGGATCTCTCTGTAAGACACAGGGAAAAAGTGATCTTGAGGAATGTGAGAGGAGAATTTGCAATGATTGCACTCGGATGTCCTTCTAACCAATCCTAGAGCCAGGAGAGTTTTAGCAGGATAACTGAAAAGAGGATCTGGAACAGTAGCTTAAGACCAAATGGGAAAGTGAACAATTAGATGATCAAACACAAGAATTTCAAAATTCAATACTGATGCTTTAAAGGACAGTGGTTTCCCATTCTTGGTGCGCGTTATTCACCTGCTCCCCCTAAGGGAGTCAGCCTCCTGATGTAAGACAACCTAACCCCTGCCAGCTGTGCCAAGGACTATTTGTCCCAGATGGAAAGAGAAATGTGACTAGTTAACGTTTCATTCCCTGCCAACGCATGGGCCTTCTCCAGTGGGAGGAGGCAGAGTGGCAGAATGACTGTCTGACAAGTGGCAGTTTATGTTTCTGCATATGAGCAAGTTCAGGGGAAAAGCAGAAATTGGGGTGCCAGGGCAGGCTGTGGTTGTGCACTGAGGAAGAAGGAGAAGAGCAGAGGTGGATAGGATGGGAGAATATCAGCTAGCGTGGCCAAGGAAAAGGAAGCGTGAGAGCACGGCAACTAGCAGTACGCTTACTGTGAAGTCTGACCCTTCAGTGGCTCTTTTTCACTGGCCAAATTTAGCATGGAAAAGTTCTTGGAAGTCGTTTTATCCCAGAGCGCCAAGCTTATTTCCTTGAATGGAAATTAAAACTTTCTCATTCCTTTTTGTCTAGGGTTGCTGTTTGCATCTTGCTGATGTGAGTGTTTGGAAATGTGAATGAGAAAGGAAGAGCCAGTGAGGTAGTGTCTCTTAGTATGAGACTGTCTCATTGCTTATGTGCTGCCCTGCTTTCAGGAGGATGATGTGGATCAGCTAGTGAAGAGGATGATGGCCTTGCAGACGGACATTGTGGACCTGCAGAGAAGCCCACTGGGTCGTAAACAAGGAGGAACACTGGAAGATTTGTGAGTGGAACCGTCTTGAACTTTGTGTGTAGGAGTGTTGCTAGTGTAGCTTAGTTCCTTTTTCCCTGCAGAGCAATGGGGGTGCTATCTCCAGCCAAAATTATGGGAGACTGGCAGGACTTAATATGACACTAAAAGATAATTTTTGCCTCCTGGCCTGTCAGTCTGAAATTGCAGGCTGGTGTATGAAAGACCTGAGTTACTGAAGTAACTGTTCGTGATTTGGGTCTTGAAGAAGTTGCTTTTTGCTCTGTAACTCTTTCTTTCAGAGAAGAACAAGCCAGAGAGCTGTACCGGAGGCTGAGAGAGAAGCCAAGAGGTAAAAGACGTTTTAGTTCAAGGTCAGTTTGCTCTGCAGGGGTTCTAACCCTGGAGATCATCGAGGGAACTTTTTCTGCGTTCCAGGCATGGCTATACACTAGATGCATATGGACTCCTCTAGACTTGACTATTTTGGAGAAGGGAGTCAGTGAGTCAACTTTAAACCAGGCAAGCCTGGCTTTCCTGCCACCTCTTCCTGTGAGACTCTTCTGAGCTCTTCTCAGAGCAAGTTGCTGCTGCTTATGTTTCTATGTAGGAAGCATGAAGGGCAGTTGGCAGTTGTTCCTTTCAGCGGCTATACAGCCCCAAGGCCGTAGACCTATCCTTCCAATTCTGCTTTCTAACCCTCATCTTTTTGAAGAGGGTAGCTAAAAATCCAGTGCACTTCATCCCACTCACACCTGCATGCCCTGAACTTGAGATGTTTCAGGATGAAAGGTGAAGCGGAAACAAACCACTAAGAATCGTCTCCCTGTGTGTGTTATGAGCCTACTTACCTGTGCTCTACTCTGACTCTTATTTCAGATCAGAGGACCAGTGGTGACAGCCAAGAAATAGTACGACTGCTGTTACAGGCAATCCAGACCTTTGAAAAAAAAGTCCGGGTCATTTATGCTCAGCTCAGGTGAGCTTGAGTCAACTGTTATTGAGGGTCGAGGAGAAAGCATTCTCTCTTTCAGCAGTGGGTTTTGTTCTAGAGGTTAAACATCCAATGTGTACAGTTCATGTGATTTGAGTGCTATAGAGGATAAGGAACTTCAGAAAAGTTCCCCTACTGCAGCTGCCCATGTGTGACGTGATTATTTTTTGCAGTAAAACTGTAGTTTGCAAGCAGAAGGCACTGGAATTGTTCCCTAGAGTGGAGAAAGTGATGAATCTGATGAATGAAGATGAGAATACAGTTGTTAGGCTTCAGGAGAAACGACAGAAAGAACTGTGGAACCTGCTGAAAATTGCTTGTGTAAGTGGAAATAGAAAGAAGGTTTTGAGTAAAACCATATTTTTTAGGCTAAGTAGCACAGAGTTTTTAAAAAAAAAAAAAAAAAAAAGTAAATAGAGTATATCCTATGGTTGCTTTTTGCCATTAATTTGTATCAGGGTTAAAGCCAAGCTCTGAGTTCTTATACTCCTGACTGCTGGAAGTAAGTTGAAATAACTGCAATCTGAATCTACTGTGTTTTTCTTCAGAGTAAAGTACGTGGTCCTGTTACTGGCAGTCCAGAGAGCATGAACACATCACGACTTAGTAGCCCCGGTCAGCTGCTACTGCAGGTTCCTTCTGGAACCTACAATTTACCAGAGTCTATCAGAAAAAGGTGAGATGAAGTCTGGAGTTGTGTAGCTGCTCATGTTAAAGCAGGATCCCCAACCTTGTGCTGCTGTGAAATAGAGGCTTTCTTACGTTCTATGCTTTGTGTTCAGCCTCCGCTGTCAACAGTGTTTTCTACCCCACAGCTGGACTTCCTGGGGCTTGTGAATCTTCCTTTAGGAACAACTGCGAATAACGTTTAGGTTCACCTCCCTGCCCTGAAAAGAAAGATAGGGGCTCGTTTAATCTGAAATGGTTGTGCTTATTTGAAGTATAGTGCCAGCAAGAATTGGTGGAGCGTAATCATGTTAGGCAATGGTAGCTGGGCTGTATCATGAAGGAGAGCCTGTTAAACCAAGCACTTAAAATTTTGGCTTACTTAAAAGGGAGCCCTGTTCCTTTGTAGTTCGGTAACGACAGGCCTTGGCTTGTTTGCTCGTATGATATTTAATCTTTTATTTTAAAGGCTGTTTTGTTACTTTCTTCCTAACAGTGAGTTGATATAATAAAAACCTGATTCCAGCTAGAACACACACTTTCTTTCCTCAACCCCAGTAAATGTGGGGATGCCACCAACTTTCCCAGTAGCAATGTGAATCATCAGCTTATGAGCTGACTGATAAAGGTTAATATTCCGTGAAGTGCAGTGCCAGCATACCTGCTGAGAAATACTTCTTCATCCAAGATAGCGGCAGCATTTCTTTAAACAAAACTTCAGTGGAAAATAAGTGTATAACAATTGTCCCTTTCAGTGAGGAGCTACTGTTGGAATCACAGAAACTCTGTAGCCAACTTGAAAATGCGATGCACGACACAATGAAGGACCAGGACCAGAGCCTTATGGTAACACTTTGCTGTTTTTGTATAAATAGACTGTGGAAATCTATGGTTTCCGACTTCTGTCCGTGCACCTTTCCTAGCGATAAGTGATTTTGCTAATAGAAATCTATGTATTATTCTTGTCTAAGGGAGAGTAGGATTTGTGGGAGAGGCAAACCCTCAGTCTCCTATCTATCTGAACTGCTCACCAACACATTCCCTACATGCAGGGAATGGGAGCCATGCCTTGGGGACTGACTTTGCACTGAACAATACAGCACTGGAAATACTGGGGCTTCCTCTTTCATGGGGAGATAGAGGACTGGGCTTTTTTTTTTTTTTTTTTTTAAAAAAAAAAAAAAAAAACGAAGAGGTGAAGTTTGGAAAGCAGGTTCTTCCCCTGGACACAGGAGGTAGAATATCAGTTTTTTTTAGGGGGGGATAAGGGAGCGGGCTTTTTTTTTTTTTTTTTTTTTTTTTTAAAAAAAAAAACACGTAGAAGTGCAGTTTGGCAAGCAGGATCTTCCTGTGGTGGCAGTACACGGGCCAGGAATAAAGGGCTAAAGTGTAGGGGGCGATGAGGATGGGCTTTTCACTGAAGTAGATTGTCGAAAATATTGAGGAAAACAAATAATTTAAGGTTTTGCTTTAAATAAATTAAAGGATTCACTCTGAAATTATTTTGAGCAATTTCTTTGCAGTAAAATTTTAAAATCTGATTATTTAAAATTTTTCCGGAACAAAGGGGAAGTAGTCTCAGCTGTAAGCGTGTGTTGGAACTTTGTGGTGTAACTGTTTATTCTTTAGGCTCTAGATTGGAGCTGGCTGCAGCTTCAGGTAGAAGAAAGAAACAGTCCAGAACAAAACCAAATGTAAAGTCACTTCAGTTGCATCTGAAGATATGCTACATAAGAAGCCAACTGTGATAAGCTGCTGCATCTGAAAAGGGAAGTGCCTCCTTCTACTGTCACCTACTGCTTATGTGACGCACATGGCCTAGCTTTTAACGTCCGAGTCTCAAGACACTTTTTTCCACGAGGATAGAGCACAAAATGCCTGCTTGGAAAAAGTTGTTAATCATGCCTGAAGATAACAGATATTCTTGCTTCCTGACCTTAGATATCTTCCCTTAGGCATCATACTTGATTGTTTTGCTGCCTTCTAATGAGCAGTGGACAGCTTATGCAATCAGCTTGCACAGTCACCAGTAGATAATCACCTTCCTAATATACTTGAACTGTGAACTTATTTTCTTAACTCTGCCGATTTGCACTTTTTTCCTTAAGAGTAATATTGTACTTACCTAATACTTGTTTCCTATATGGGAACGGAATATCTGGTATGTGTAAACTTTTGGTTTGCTCTATTTGATACCATCAATACAATTTTAATGAAAAAGCTGCTTTCATGGTGCAGGTCTCTGAAACGTGAGAGGTAAGGATGTTATCCTAGAGAGCATAGCGAGCGTAGATAAACTGCAAATGATTTGTTAAACTGTATACCTGTTCACTGTATTTAAAGTGCTACAAAATACTCCCAGAAACTGTGCTCTACACTGTTGTGCTTATCTGAGCCTTAATAAGGAGTGAGGCACAAACACGTTATGTTCCAACTGTGGCATTTTATTTCGTTCTGATGAAGAACCAAGTTTCCACTACAACACAGAGACAATTTCTATAAAAGGTTGTGAAGTGTAAGACATGCAGGATGCAATATACTAGAGGAGAGACGGGGGATTTTCTTCCTTTGTAACAAGATGCTATGCTGTCTTTAGGAGCCCATTTAAAACGTGAGAAACTAAAGTGAAATGTGGCACAAACATAACTTCCATGCGTGCCTTCAAGTATCTTCCTTGGGGTGTTTGCACCTTCTGAACTTCAGCGTTGGGTTAAAGCAATTCTTTGGAAGAGTAAAAGTTCACACTTCTTGAAATTTCAGAGTAATGTTAAGGCCAAAACACTCTGGCTATGCTGCTCCTTCATCTCTCAGGGTCTACCTGTTGCTTTACTCAGAACTGCATTAAGCTTCCAGCTCAAAGCCCAGCCCAACTTTGTGACCTCCAGCACTGAAATTCTTCCCATCAATCAAACCTGAGAGAGTCAGCTTTACACCTGGAAAAGCAAGCAATCAGACCAATATTAAAAAAAAAATAGAATGCAGGTCAGCACTGGCCTCCTTGTGCAACTCTCTCAATGTACTTGAGCCTCACCGATGCTTCTCATTTGCTATAGAAACTTTGGTCCATCCTTTACTTCTCTGAACCTATGTAAGATTGCTAGTGTTTTTTTTTTTTTAATCTATCTATTCTGTTTGAGAGAGGAAATTAAAGTAAACCATAAACGTAGGTACTAATTAAACTTGATACCAGTAGGACTTACGTACCAGGTCGAAGGGCGTGACTATAACCAATTCCAATCAGGCTGGCATTATTCACTTTGGCCTACAGGGAAAAAGAAATCATTCCTTCGTATAAATACTCAGATAACATTGCCTCAGTGCCCCGAGAAGGCTGCTTACATATTCATTCTAGCTACTTGTAGACTAACCTCCAGCAGAGGTATATTCTAATTTTTCCTTTTCCCCACAAAAAGTTCCAGTCTACCCACCTCTAAGTTGAATTTACCTCCAAGTTGTAAAAGGCTTGAGTATTAATTCCACGCCCCCCCCCCCCCCACTTTAAATTGTGGCTCATTATTCTTATAGAGTGCTCTCCTGTCCTTCACTATCGCATCCTTGTCTCTTTGCGTCTTTTAAGATGCCTAGTTACTACCGTCCCTTAATAACCAATAAAGTCTGCCTTGCTCACAAATCAGTGTTCACAAATTGTTTAGTAGTGACTTTTTAGAAGTGAGCAGCAAATAAACGAATCTGCAAACCTCTTTTTACATTATTAAGTTTTGATCTGTTTACAACAGTGTTTCCTAATTCTTGTTTTGGCAGATAGATCCCAGGACTAATTCTTGTTTTAAAGTGTAACAAATGCTTGCTACTTTAGTTTTTAATAGCACCCTGGGTACCTACGTATTTTAATTCACTGTCACTCCCTGGTGGACATGTTTTGTCTCCTAGGCGTCTCCCTCTATTTAAATCTATTTCTCCCTGCCCCCACCCCTCTTAAATCTCTGCAAGAATTTTCAAGTGTCAGTAATAACACTTATCTCAGGACCTGGATTGACTTTTGAGGGTTAGAAGCCAGTGTTAGAAGAAGGCTATAAGCTCAGCTGAATACCTCCTATCAGTTTATAATGCTACAGTTGTACATTATGCATTAGTTAAGAATTAGACAACTAAAGTGTCTCTCAGATTTCATACTAGTATTAGCTTTTAAGAAGACACATTTTGTATAGGCCTCAAGCACAACAGTCAGACACATGGGGTGACTTTCACTAGAGAGGGGAA